AGAATTGCTAATTTCACTATAAACACTCTCGAAGTATGGTAAAAGCGACTGTTTGATGCAATCACTTTGGGCTTCACTCTCAAAACTCTCGCAATAACGACTTAATAGGTAGTAAAACTTTACAAAGGATCACGTTTTATATCAAACAGATTAAGCGTGAAATGCATTTGGGAAGAAATTAACTAGTGAGAGACATATTTTCTCGAAATGATTTTACCAATTTCAGCATTATAACTTTCGAAATTAATGACATTTTTTTTCACATCAAAAATTAATCATAATTTTTGAAGTTTAATAAATTTTAACGTTCATGTTAATAATTTAAAAAGATCCATTAAAAAAAAAAAATTACCAGACTAAAAATTACAGATTTGTTTTAGAATTAATTATTTTTCTTGCTTTAATTTCAACACTTTCTCATTATTTTAATAAATGCTGCGTAGTATAGTTATTAGTTATGCAGCTTCTATATTTCGGTTCAAAATGCTAATTTTATTTAAAAAAAAAACAATAATATGTAATTTTTTTTCCTTCCTTGTTCACCTCTCATTTATTGATACATTTTTTCTTATTTAATAAATTTTAAATTTCCTCTCCTAAAAGCAAGAAATATTCAATTCACATTCCTGGAATATTCCTCTGGAATATTCTATCCACATTTTAGGAATATTCAAGTGCCTCATCAAAATATTATATGGGAATATTTCATTGGGACTTTGGTAAAAATATATTTTTACTTTATTAGAATTATTGATGATATGATTATTAATTTTTGCGCCATTCTATTTTAGGAATATTCAAATGCTCTATTTTTAATAGGATATTCCATCAAAATGTTGTAGAAATATTCCATTGGAATTTTAGCGTTAACATACTTTTTTTTTCTTTATTAGGATTATTGGTGATGTGCTAATCAATTTTCACGCTATTCAAATAAATAAATTTTTTTTTTACTGAAAAATTAAAAATTTAGTATTTCTCTGGAATATTTAATATAGTATTACAATAAAATATTCTTAGATTATTCCAAAGGTAGAACTTTCCAATATTCCTAAAATGTAAAAGAAATATTCCAGAAACGTTAATGGAATATTTCACTGGCATTCCAGAAATGTCCCATTGAAACATTAGGAATATTCCAAGGAATATTTAATCCTCATTTTGGGAATAATAAATTATCTGAACTTTAGAATGTTCTTTTAAATTAATGTAGGAATATCACAATCTAATATTCAATCTACATTTTAGGAATATTAAAATGTCCGACTTTTGGAATGTTTCTTCATAGAATAATGTAGAAATATTCCATCAAAATATTGTGGGAATATGCAATTGAAATTTTGTAAAAATATTTCTTTATTGCTATTATTATAATTCCTGAAATATAATAATGTCTTTTTACCACTCATATAAATCATCAGTATATTATTTTGAATTGAAAAGTAATATTCCATTGGAATATTGATATATTTCAACGAAATATTACATTACTATATTCAAATAAAAATATTCCTACGGAATATTCGTACATTATTCTAAGGAATAGTCTAAAGCTCGTCAATTTTAATATTCCTAAAATGTAGATGGAATATTTCGAATGAATATTCCTAATGTTTCAATTGAATATTTTAGGAATGTTGAAGGAATATTTTTTACTATTGGAGACATGTTATCTCGCGAATTTTTTATTACTTTTATTAAGTGTATTAGAAATTAATTTATGTGTTATGTTAATATTGTTCTAAAATTATTATTATAGTGAGTAATTATTTATTAGTAAATATTATTTTTTATTCATGAGGAATCTAAATATAACACATTAACAATAATTTATTTATGTTTCAACTTTTGGTTTTAAAAATATTTTTGATGCAAAGTAAATTGTTATCCGTTACTTTCAATTTTTTAATTATTTTGTATTATTTTAAAACCGCATTGAAGAATAAATTTTTTTATCGAGATTATTATATATTATTATTTTATTATTATTATTATCGAATTGCTATTATTAGAAACAAAATAAAAATATTAATTTAGAATAAAAAAATTATTTTCTAAATATTTATTCACTTTTATTTTAAACAAATATGTATTCAGTAAATTTCAATATTCCATCCAATATTTTAAAGCAGTAAAAATGGATGAAAATTTTGTTAATATTTTTTTAATCTTTTGCGCTTCAAATTTTTCATATCATAGGTCACCTTTTTTCATATCACTAAAATATTTTTCCATTGCAAGTCTCTTAAAAATTTCAAGGAAAACAATAATTTCTTTCTTTAATTTTGCATTTTTACATTTTTAACTTATCTTTAATAATAAAAAATACAAGTTTCGTGAAAAAATATTTCTTTCGTTTTAAAAATTATTTAACGAAAAAAAGGAATACAATTTAATTTTGTTAAAAATTCAATGCACTACACAAGCTTACGTTATTTTTATTCTCCGGTAGAATTAATTCATTTTTTTTCATTTCAATTTTTCTTTTAATTTTTAAAATGTTGTATTTTTAATTACTACGCGTGTTATGTTTTTCTAGTGCAATAAAAAAGTTGATTACTTTTTTAAAAAGGATTTTGCTTTTTTTTCATTTATTTAATTTTTACTTATTTACTTCTTTTTTACTTATTTAATTAATTATTATTTATTTCATTAAATTTGATTTATTCATAATAATGAATAAATCATTTTTATTAAATAAAACTTAATCTGGCGCACAGTTATCAGCAAACACTTAATTTTTCAACATTTGACATTGGTACTTACACAGTGCAACATTTTTGAGGTCATCGAATGTGCACTAAGTTTTGACTTCAGTTTCTAAAAGTACTTATCAAAACTAGCAAAAACCTATTTCAGTTTTGCTAGATTAGCTCGGATTTGAATTTTATCGACATTTGAATTTTTTTTTGAATTTTTACATTTTTCAGTTTTCTGATACGGGCGAATGGGAACACTGGCTATTAAAAGTTTATTAAAGAAAATTCGCAATGGTCACAATTTGAAAAGCAATAATCCTTCTTTAATTACAGAGAAAGAAAAAAAATTTGGTTGAAAATTGTTCCAGTTGCGAATTTTTTTTTGGCTTTTTTTCATTTTTTTTGGTTTTATGAAAAGGGCGGGTGAGAAAGCTGGCTATTAAAAGATTATTAAAAAAAATTTCGCAGTGGTCACCATTTGAAGGGCAATAATTCCTCTTTAATTTCTGACATTGAAAAAAAATTTGGTCGAAAATTATTTGAGTTATGAATTTTTTTTTGTAATTTTTCAAATTTTTCGGTTTTTCTAATACGAGAGGGTGGGAACGCAATCTATTAAAAGTTTATTACACAAAATTCCCAATTGTCATAATTTGAAAAGCAATAATCGCTCTTTAAATTCTGATAAAGAAAAAAAAATTTGGTCAAAAATTTTTCGAGTTATGAATTTTCTTTTGACTTTTTCACATTTTTCGATTTTTTGATAAAGCGGGTGGAAACGCTGGCTATTAGAAGTTTATAAAAAAAATTCGCAATGATCACCATTTGAAGAGCAGTAATTCCAACCTAATTTCTGACATTGAAAAAAAAATTTGGTCGAAAATTGTTCGAGTTATGAATTTTTTTTTTACTTTTTCACATTTTTTAATTTTTTGATCAGGCGGGTGGGAACGTAGGCTATTAAAAATTTATAAAAAAATTTCGAATGATCACAATTTAAAGAGCATTAATCCGTCTTTAATTTCTGCCCAAGAAAAAAAAATTTGGTTAAAAATTGTTCAAGTTATTAATTTTTTTTACTTTTTTTTAATTTTCGGTTTTCTGATAACGGAAGTGGGAATACTGAATATTATAAATTTATAAAAAGAATTCGTAATGGGCACAATTTAAAGAGCAATAATCCCTATTTAATTTCTACGCAAGATAAAATATTTGATTCGAAATATTTGGTTTCGAAAAAATTAAAAAAAAATCAAAACCCTCGGTTGCACAGGACCGCGGGTATACAAATGTACAGAAATAAATTAAATAACACGAATAATTTTCTACCAATTTTTTTTCATTTATCAGAAATTAAAGAAGGATTATTGCATTTTAAAATTTGACCGTTGTGAATTTTTTAAATTTATTTTTAATAGCCAGCGTGCCCACCCGCCCGTATCAAAAACCGAAAAATGTGAAAAAGTTAAAAAAAAGCATAATTAGAACAATTTTTGACCAAATTTTTTTTCTTTGACAGAAATTAAAGAAGAATTATTGCTCTGCAAAATGTGACCATTGCGTTTTTAAAAAAGAAAAATTTAATAACCAGCGTTCTCACCCGCCCAGATCAAAAACAAAAAAAATTTGAAAAAGTACGAACAAAATTCATAACTCGATCAATTTTTGACCAAATTTTTTTTTCAATGGCAGAAACTAGGGAGGAATTACTGCTCTTCAAATGGTGACCATTGCAAATTTTTTTTATAAACTTTTAATAGCCAGCGTTTCCATCCGCTTTATCAAAAAACCGAAAAATGTGAAAAAGTAAAAAAAAATTCATAACTCGAACAATTTTTGACCAAATTTTTTTTTCAAAGTCAGAAATTAAAGAGGAATTATTGCTCCTCAAATGATTACTACTGCGAATTTTTTTTTATAATCTTTTAATAGCCAGTTTTCTCACCCGCCCGTTTCATAAAACCAAAAAATGTAAAAAAGCCAAAAAAATTCGTAACTGGACCAATTTTCGACCAAATTTTTTTTTCTTTCTCTCTAATTAAAGAGGGATTATTGCTTTTCAAATTTTGACCATTGCGAATTTTTTTAATAAACTTTTTATAGCCAGTGTTCCCATCAGCCCGTATCAGAAAACTGAAAAATGTGAAAATTCAAAAAAAAAATTCAAATGTCGATAAAATTTAAATCCTAGCTAATCTAGCAAAACTGAAATAGGTTTTTGCTAGTTTCGATAAGCACTTTCAGAAACTGAAGTCAAAACTTAGTGCACATTTTATGTGTTGCACTGTGTTATTAAACAAAAAAAAAAAGAGATATTTGACTTTCAAATTTAATTTCTAAAATGAAGTTGGTGCTGGCAAGTGGGTAGCAGTTTCAGATTCATTTTTATTTATTTTATTAATTGTTATTTCTTTACTCATTATTTATTTACTTCTTTTTATTAATTTATTTTTATATTTTTTATTTATTTTAGCTCGATTACAATGAATTTTTTTTTTATTCACAGTAGGACCAGATTGAGTCAAAATCGGACCAACTTTAGCGATAATTAGTTGCTTCCTAAGAAAAGGTTCACTTTTACGTTAATTATATTTTTGATCTTAAGATCTACAAAAATTGTTTTTTTATATTTATATTTTCAAACTAAACTTAATTGTCTGATTTTATTAAATTCTATAGTTACTTTAGTAGGTACCTAATGAAAACTAAAAAAATGATAAGTTTAATAATTAATAATAATATTAAAAATAATAAATAAATAAATTCTTTTGTAAATTTCACTGACAAAATATTTGTCAATTATCTAAATTGCAGAGTGTATTTTTTTATTTTGTAAATAAAATTATTTGAAACTTGGAATGTATAAGAATCAATATGAGGACAAGTATTGGGCGTGTTTAGTAATAATAATAATAAATGTTTTGCCGGTGAACAAAAATGGTATTGTAATCTGTTTAGTAAATGGACGATTTTCTTGTTGCCTATGGTCGTTCCTGGATTCTGGGTATAGCGGCGCTTTATTACTTCTAAACAGGCTGACCGAGCGGTATATTACTCTCGGACGGTTCTAACGGGTCCTGATATATTGCTTGCGGGCCTGCCAAACCCCTCTGCCCAATATTCCCAGAGCCATGGCATTGCTGCAAGCTTCTGCGGGCGTATTCGCGCGCGTCCCTTTTCCTTGCCGGCCAAAACTATTAATTTTGGTTTGCCTGACCGTGTTCGGGTGGGATAATTCAATTTTGGGGCCGCAGTGCACGAAATTAGTGAATGATATCGGCGGTCGATGTCGCGGTCTCGCCCACTCTTCTCTTCTCTATACATATACATATATACAATCAATTCAATTAAAAATAAAAATAAAAAATTGAATGATAAAACTTTCTTCCTTTTGCCAGTCGAAAATTAAATTTTTTCTTTGTTTTTTAAATCAATATTTTGTTTTCCAAAAAGAGCAGAAAAAAATAACTCAGCGGGCGAAAAATTAGAAAAATATTTTTACTTTTTGTCGTTGATATATCTTTCTTCAGTTATAACAGGGGAAAAGTACGATTAGCCAGGGTTGCCACTTGCCATATGTCGGGGAATTCAGGGAAAAATCAGGGAAAGTAAAAATATTTCATTTCTAGAATTGATAAGAAAATTCTGAATTTTGTTGTCGATCAGCAAAAAATATAGAATTAAATTAATTAAATTAAATTAATTAATTAAATTAATTAAATAGAATTATGTTAATTTTAAATTCTTTCGATTTCTAACAATAATTAAAATTTACAGATTTGAAATTGATTCAAAATTTTAAAAAATTCAACTCTAATAAAATTTTTTGAAAGAATTCAATTATTTTTAATAAATTCGATTAAAATAACAACTAATTACCATAAAAATAAATAAACTATTATAATAAAATATAATTTATAATAACAAGACAAACGAAGACATTTAGTCAAAGATTCTTTAATGTTACTCCAATTAAAAGATAAAAAGATTTTAGTTCACAATAATAAAATAAAGTACAGTGAAACCTGTACTTTAGAATCTGGAGTCAAAAATTTTAGAATGAGTTAAAATAAAAATATAAAGTAAAAAAATAAAATTAAAAATAAATAAAAATACAGTTAAAATTAAATTGAAAATTAAAAATTAAATACGTTAAAAACGTTAAAGACTTTATTATAATTTATAATAAATTTATAATAAATATAATTTGTTATAAAATATGAAATAAGACAAATATACCATGAAAAATGAAAATAAAAAAAGGAATTAAATTGTTTTCAACGAGGTTTTCAATACACTTTCAATTAAATTCGTTGAAAAACTTTGGAAGAATTCAATTATTTTCATACACATAATTAAATTCTTCGCAGGAATTCAATTCTTTTCAATATAATTTTAATAAAATTTCTCCATAAAAAATTATTTTTGAAAATTGTTATTAAACTCTTTATAAGAATTCAATTATTCTCAGTACAGTTTTATTCAAAAGAATTTAATTATTTTCAGAAAGTTTCCATAAAATTCAAAACAATAAATAAAATTATTTTTAAAAATTTAAATAAATATGTTATGTAAAAAAATTAAATTATTTTAGATTCAAAATGATAAAAAGTTACAAAAATTACAAAAAGGAATATAAAATTAAAAATTATTATAAAAACTTATCAAAAATGTTATTGTACCTAAAATAGAAAAAATTACACATTTTTAACTCGAAATTGTGGAAAATAAATTAATGTCTACATTTTTTTTGCAATAATTAATATTATCACAAACTTATTCTCTAAAATTGAACTACATAATTAGAACAAAAGTTATATGAAATTCTAAACTTTATTTTTTTAATTCAACATAGAACAGGATATTAAAATTGCAAATGAAATTATTTTTTATTTAGAAAATAAATTTAAAAAAACTGTATTTTTAATTAATATTAATTACTTATTCTACAATAATTTATAATTAACTATTTTTATATATTAGAATGTTAAATTAATATTATTAATACAGATTGAATTTCAAAAGGTTTCAAATTGAAGTTTTAGAATAGTTGAATTAAAAATTCTGTAGAAGTTAGTTTTTTTAAGTATTTTTATTGGATTTTTTCGAAATTAATTTTATTTTTAAATAGGTACAATATTTAATTAAAAAAAAATTTTAAATTATTGAAATTTCAGAAAGTGTAAACATTTGGATTTCAAAAATATTTTAAGTGTACTTTTTTTCTTTGAATAAATCATTGAATTTTTAAGGAACTTTCTCAAAAATTAATTAAAAACTGAAGTCAATGATCACTCCGAGCGAGACTCGGAGTGATCGTTTAACTTCAGTTTTCAATTAATTTGACAACCGAGTGATAAATTCGTTTATATCATTTTTCAAAAATTATTAAAAATAATTGAATTAGTGAAGAAATTTTAGTTTTGAAAATTCCAGAAAATAATTAAATTTAAATCTTGAAAATAATTTTTGATAAATTACAGTATCAATTTTTATAAACTATTGAATTTCAAAGGATTTGAAAATTGAAATTTTTAAAAATTTTAACTTTCTATAAAAAAATAATAACAATGATTAAATATTTATTTAAAAAAGAAAAATGTTAATGTTATGAATAATTTAAAAATGAAAGGTCACTTTTTCTAAAAAATTAAGAAATAGAAACTATTTTGCATATTTTCTGTTTTTCTCAATCACAATTTTGCTTACAAAATTATATATTTGATTTTGTGAAAGTGGAAAAGATTTTATAAAATTATTATTCCTTATTACAATTTGTTAACAAAATTCTGTTCTTCTTTGAAAAAAAGAACAAAAAAAATTTGCATTATTTTTATACAAAAATTTCTAAAATTAATTTATTTATAAAACATTTTTTTAGAAATTTTAAATATTTTTAGGAAAAAAATCCCTATAATTTCTATTTGTTAATTACGATTTTTAACTAGATTATTTAAAAATTTTGTTAAAAAATTTGCCTAATTTCTTTTTTTTATTATACCTAATTTTTTAAAGAAATCTCAAGTACTTTTTTTTAAAGAATTAAAATATTTTCGTAAATTTTATTTTTTAATCATTTGTTATTTCAAAAATTGAATATTACGTTAGAAACATTTTTTTTGAAAATTACCTTTATTAGAATAAAGAAAATTAGAAAATCACTTTCATTAGAAAAAAGCTTTTTAGAAATTCACCTTTCATTTTACTTGTATTAACTAATTGTTTTTTTAATTTAAAAAAACAAAAATTTTATTATTATAATAATAATAATAATAATAATAATAATAATAATAATAATAATAATAATAATAATAATAATAATAATAAATCTATGAAAATTATTATTTAAAATTAATTAAATAAAAATTATTTTAAAAAGTAGATAAAATTTATTTATATAATAAACATGATAAGAAATGATAATAAAGTACGTCGAATAATAGTTTTCGTAAATATAATAATAATAATAATTTTCGTCACTTGAATATAAATTCAAATAATGAAAACAATGTTTAGTGATAACAGTATAATTGTTAGAACTTTAATGATGTAAATATTGAAGTAAATTGTATTCTCTTAGCAGTCATGAATTTTCTCTGTTTGTAGGACTTGGATTTAGTGTTGAGCATTTAAAGGAGATTACGCGAAAGATCGTGGAAATTTGCAAAGCCCGGAAGTTAGACCTGGGGATCATATAGAATAATGCCCATCTACAAGAGGTAAGTACGAATGGCCATTAGATACTTCTCTACTATACATTGTAGCTATTCAAAGTTGCTGGCTGCCCTTACTTGAGTTTGTACACATAGACCACACCGCTATGCATTTCTATCGGCTACTTAACCCACCCGGAAAGGGACTCATTTCGCAATGCCGTTATTTCCGGTTTAACAGGGCCAGAATACTGAAGTGTAGCATAAGAGCGCTGCTTTACAATCAGAGTTCAACTCGTAATACCAAAACCATCCCCTCAAACAACCTCCCCCCCCCTCTTTCTCTCTCTCTCTCTCTCAAATCGATATCAAATTGCGTCTAAATGAAATTACAAGTCAAGTTACAATCCAATTACTATTTGCATTAATGCGCTAATTAATTTATCGCTCTGGTATTAAATTGATATAATTGGCTTATTATAATAAATAATATTTTTTATTGGAGACTATAAATGGTCGTAAAGTTGGTACTTGATTTTATATCAAAAACATACATTTTGAATTAGCGGAAATTATTATTTGTTTATTTACATTTTTTTCTTACTTTTAGATGTAATGATATTTAAAAATAATCGGCGATATTTGATCCGTCATTTTGAATCTTTAAAATTTGATGTCAAATCCCGAAAACCACCAAGTAACAAGTTTCTTGCGAATTTGTTTAATTTCTTAAAATTCCTCTGCCATATTGGATCCGCCATTTTGAATTTTTAAAATATGACATCAGATTTGTAATCAGAAAATAGATGCTATATAAAATACGAATTAGGAAAAATAAATATTATAATAATTAATTACTTGTCAAAAAAAGAAATATTACAAAAAATAAAAATTCGAGTAATAAAAAATTATTTAAATTATAATATCGATAACGAAATAAACTAAAGGTAAAAATTAGTTTGAAAAACCTTTCATATTTTCAACAGTCATATGCTATTATTCTGTTAATTGCACAAAATATTGAAAATCTAATTTTAAAAAATAGAACATCAATAATTTTTATATTTTTATTGCACAAATGTTAAACTTGAAAACAAAAGTAATTAAATTTTGTAAAATAAAATAAGCATTTAATCGGAAAAAATAAAATTTACGATTTATTTTCTTTTATGCGCTGCAAAATTTTAAGACTTTTTTCATAAAATTTTTGCGTTTCATTTTTGTAGATTTATTGAAATTGTTGATAATTGCAAAAATCGAAGACGGAAATAACTTTTCGTTTTTCTACAAGTTTTTAAACTTATACATACATATATATTCGAGATAAAAAGTGTGATATGAGAAGGCGACTTGGTATGACAAACTATGTGAGCTGTGGAAAAAAAATATTTTTGAATAAATTTATTTCTTTTTTAAAATTAAAATCTTCTTGTTGAATGCATTTACTAATACAAATAGTAAAAGACTTGATTTCTTATTTTAAAAATAATTTCTTTATTATTATACACTATAAATTTATTGTGTTTTATAAAGATTCATTATTGAAATAAATTATTTCGTCGCTGCTTTTATATGTATTCTATCTATAAATCGAATACATAGGAAGAGTAAAAAACATAGTACAATTGTTTTAATATAATAATAATAATAATAATAATAATAATAATAATAATAATAATAATAATTTTGATTCCTTAAATTCTTATTCCTTAAAAAATATCCGATAAAATAGACGAAGAAAAATACCACAAATAATGGTTAATATTAACTGTTGGCAGTATTTTTAAATAGCGGAATTTTCAGTTAATATAATATTAATTTATTATAGCAATAATTTATTGTTTTTAAAAAATTTAATAACAGTTGTACTAATCAAAAAAGTGGTTTTCAAAAGTAAAAAAAAAGAATTGAAAGTAGAAAATAAATGGAAACTGGACAAAAATGCATTCATTCGAGAAACTTGGCATTTAGAAGAAATAATGGTAAACTTTTATAAACGAAATTTTATGCCCCCAAAGGTAATAACAACTAATTGTACGTTATTAGAGTTTCAGAGAGTACACGTAACGGACGTATAAACGTGCCTTTGTATGTTACCATGCCTGTTTGCTACAGTTTGCCGTCTGGATTAACAGTGCTTTATTATTCGCAGATTTTTTTTTCCGAACCAACAAATTGCTTCTCTTATTAATATAATCTGCCTTACTGGAAAATATCTGTTTAACTATAGAACATTTAGAAAAAGAATAAAAGAAAACTCGCATCGAAGTTGAACCAGTAGTTTTTAAAAATTAAACAAAATTTCCGCAAATATTCTGAAAATTAAATTAATAATTAATACTAGTAATTAACAATTAATCAGTAACATTAAATTGAGAAAAGTGATTTTTTCATTCAGAAACTATTTTTACAATTTAAAATTATTTTTTCGCTTTGAAATTTGTACCTAAAAATTTCAATTTTTAGCTAGAGATTTCCTTTTTTTTTGTCGTTCAATTAAAATGTGAATTTTTCTGAGACTAAAAGTAACGTCGGAAATTGACTTTTAAAGGTTTTTTAAAAACTTTTTTTCTAGATACAACGTGAGCATATATTGAATTACCTTGAAAATCTCAACGTTGAGTCGAATCGTTTTTCTAGCAAAACCGCGGACGCGTAAATTATTTTATACCCCTTTCAACGGGCACTAATGGCCTGTGCGGGGCCACGATTAATGGCAGACGGTCGAGCAGACCGTTGAAACGGCTATAAGCGTCCAAAACTCTCTTCTACCCCTTTAGTTTCTGGTCGTCATTTTAAAAAAACTCACATTTTTGCAACTCCAATAAGTAAACAAAATCCATTTTCTGCCGAGAATTTAAAAGCTTCAACGATTTTTTTTTATTTATTCAATGAAATAACTTATAATGTGTATTTAATAGTTGGAGAATTTTTATTACTTTTACAATAGCATGAAATATTCTATTCAAATTCCTGGAATATTCTAAAGGAATATTCGAATATTGTGTAACAGAATATTTGAATATTTGAAGAAATATTCCATTTACATTTTAGAATTATTAAAATTGTCCTTTGGAATTTTCCCTTCATTGTAAGAAAAAATAATTTAGAAATATTCTTTCAAAATATTGTAGGAATATTCCATTAGGATTGTGTAGAAATAATTTTGTTATTCTTGGGGTTGATTACGTAATTTCATTTTTATTTTCACTTTTATTTTCAGTTTCATTTTCACTTTTATTTTTATTTTTAATTTCACTTTCACTTTGATAGATTATTACTTCCATTTTCATTACAATAGAATTTTATTTTTACTTATATTTCTACTTTCACTTTGATAGATTTTTTTTCTTTTTATTTTCATTTTCACTTTGATAATATTTTTTATTTTTACTTTCATTTCTATTTTCCTATGACAATTTTTTTATTTTATTTTCACTTTCACTTTGATAGAAAGTGAAAATATAAACCTGTCAAAGTGAAAATGAAAATAAAAGTGAAATAAAAATGAAATTACATAGTCGACCCCCTGTAATAAAAACGTCATTATAAAAGTTAAACCCGTCTAATATTAAAGAAATAAACAAATAAATTATTTCAAAAAAATATTTCAAATGTCGGTCATTTTAATATTAATTTATTATTTTACAGTATTTTATTAGTTTTCTATTATATTATTTAATTTAAATTAAGTTATTATTATTGTTATTATTATCATAAATTTAATATTAATATTTCAGAATTGTAGATGAAATATTATAAAATGTTTTCAATGAATATTCCAAGAATGAGAACAAGATATTTTTTCGCTAATTGAATATAAAAAGATAAATAAATAGAACATATTTTTTGATACTGAAAATTTTTGTAAGTATGGAATTTATTTATTAAAAAAATTGTGTTACTTTAAAAAAGAGTATTCAATAAAAAAAAAAGTTTAATTAAAAAATTTATTGAAACATTTACGATGATAAAATGCCTTTCACATAATGTAAAATAGAATTTTCAATATTTTAATTTTGCTTCATATTAAGTTTCCAACCTGAATATTTTTCAAATATAAAAATTGCTTCATGTATCAATATTAAAATATTTGTTTGAGGTACTTCTTATTTGAATTTTAACCCCTTCACAGTCGAGTGAAAATAAAGTTTTTGTGCCATAAATGTTCAAAAAAAATTTTTTTTTTTTAAATCATGATATTGTCATATTATATGTTTTTGAGGTCACTGATTCAAAATCCGTGGTCGAAAAGTCAAAATTCAAAATGGCGGCTTCAAAATATCGACCTAAAAAAATTAAAAAGTTAACGAATGCGTTAACTTAAAACTTTTTTTTTGTTGCCTTTTTAAAGCTACCATTTTAAATTTTGAATTTTTGACAACGAATTTGGATTCAGCGACCCCGAAAACCCCCGAGTAAGGATTTTTAGCCAAATTCGTTAACTTTTAAATGTCTTTTTTTTCGATGGCCCTATAGAGCCCATGGACATACAGGGCACGACATTTTTATGGCTCTATAGAGCCCACTGACAGTGAAGGGGTTAAAACGATAAAAAAGAAAATAAAAAAGATTAATTTTAATATATGGTGAAAGGCGGAAAAGATAAATTCTTCTTTAAATTAATAATAACGATATATAAAAAAATGTAATTAAAAATTAATTTAAATCGTGATTACTCAAATAACTTAATTTTTTTGACAGTATTGAATATTATTAAAAGGATTATTTAAGAAAAATTAAAATTTCTAACTTTAGTTCAACTTCTATTATTTATTATTAATATTTTTTTAATGAATAGAAATAATTGAAATTAAAATTTTCTATTAAATGGAAAAAGTAATTTTTTGTTAATAAATTAGAGTAAGATTAATATTATTCACAACTCTCATCCCCCCCGCCACAAAAAAAAAGAAAAGAGAAAAGGTATAAATTTATTATTAATTTGAAAGTTGTTTTAATATAATTCCTAAACCAATTGATTTAAGAATTATTTTAAAACAACTTTCAAATTGATAATAAATTTATACCTTTCCTCTTTTCTTTTTTTTTGTGGCGGGGGGGAT